ATGAGTATGGGGCTCTGCCCCACGCGCGGGAGCCCCGCTAAAAATTGGACGTAGAGCGTGACCAACGCGTGAACATGGCGAGAAAAGTCAAAAGCAGCTGTCTCCCCTGCCTGTAGCAGCTGGCTGAATTTTCGCGTCCCAGGTCAGTTTGAAATCAAAATTTTAATTGTGCGGCACATAAACACAACATGTTTCATATGAATTTAAAAAAATAATAAACTTGAGCCTGCGATCATTTGAAAACAAGTACCATGTCAGCGGATAACTTCAAAAAAACACTTGACCTCGATGGGTCGGCACCTGAGCCCGCGATACAGTCATGTGATACTGGTCAGCGGATACCTTGTTTTGACAGCTGTCAATGGATCACAACATTGATGTCCAATATGTGTATCAGTTTTCCTGTGCTCCGATTAGGCCTTTCCCGATTGCGCTGAGCACCTTTTGAGCACTTTTTTGAGTTTGGAGCACTATTTTGCATTTTGAGCACCCTTAAGCACTTTTTCGCACTTTGGGCAACATTTGAGCAATATTTCACATTTCGAGCAAATTTCGAGCAACATATGGCTTCTAAAACATTTTATAGTGGCAAAAACTGTGTGTCGCTCGCAACGAGAATCGTGTTCCAGGTCATAAATTTGAATAACTAATAATGTTGTCAAGAATAAAGACCGTTGTCATGGAAAGGCACGTGGACTTATCCTTACTGAGCGTGAGAACAGAAGTTTCTGATTCGCTGATGTATCATGCTTGTGTCATCTCAAATTTCTAAGTCATCTGATGTCTAGGCTTTGCACTAGTACTGCTGAATTTATTTACAATTCGTAACCGGTATTAGTTTTTAAAAATATTATTGTTCTATATTCTATCAACCTTTCGTAACAACCTGTCGAATAACACTACGCAAAATAGCTTGTTAATTACTTCAGTAAAAATTGACATATTTACGAAAAGCTTAGAGGTAATTGTTCACAACTTTTAGCACTTTTTGAGCACTATTTTGAGCACTTTTTAGTCATTTTTGCCAGCACTTTCTTAGGATTTTACGAGCGCAATCGGGAAAGGCCTAGCTCCGATCCCAAACTAGCTAGAAAGTATGAGACTGAACATTGATCGCGATCTAGTAAAATAATTAACTGGTCAGCGGACAGCTTCCAAATAAATCACGTCACCTCAATGAGTTGGCACATGAGCCCGCGATATGGTCATTGGATACTGGTCAGTGGCTATCCTGTTTTGACAGCTGTTAATTGACCATATTGTGAATGTCCAATGTAAAAGATGTGGACTTGACCACACACGCCTGAGACACCCCTCCCTTCCTTTTGATAGTCTCCCTACCCCACCCGTACAATCCGTAGACGCGTACGTACGTACGTACGTACGCTCGGTCAATCACGTGACAACCAAAGGAAAAGAGGTTGACCATAATCTATGGGTATGGGGCTCTGTCCCACGCGCTAATATTCTGCATAAATAAAAGACTGATGTCTGAGTGGCAAGGTCTAGAATAGGGTGATATGAAAAAAAGAAAATGGATAAATAAGTTACATTTTTCTTAGTTTTTCCGACATGAAATAATGTTTATACCCAATTTTCATTGTAAGGAACTTTTTAATACTTAGTATTACACTTTTTGTGTTTACTGTGTCACACCCACTGAGGGTAATATTAATATTGTAATCCAGACAACATCCTTCTTGGAAGGTTTCTGAGGATCCAAATGACAGTAAGGCACTGGGCTGGCACTAAGATTTCAAGTTGCTGGGTATATGCAATTAGTAGGTGGTGAGGAATTAAACAACTAGCCAGGAAGATTGGTGGGTTTTGGTTTTCTTTTGTTCCTTATAAAAGTAGCTGGTGATCATGCTCATAGTAACCGGCCACGGGAGAAATCTCCGACCCCAGCCCTTGGTGCCAGTCCCGAGTAAGGGCAAGCTTCTTAACAACAATATCCTCATCCTTATGACTGATTTCTTTTAAGGCTAGCGGCTGGAAAATCCTGAAGTACTGGACTGATTGCTAAACAATGTACAAATAACTGCACCTTGGCTACTAGGGATAATAATCAAAATAATGGTATTATCACTTGTTGATTAAGTTTTAAGTAATATATCAAAAACGAGTGCGAGGGCTTCATCGGGGTATCCAGACACAGAGAAACAGATGAAAGCACGAGGCTGAAGGCCGAGTGCTTTTATCGTTTCGAGTTGTCTGGATACCCCGACGAAGCACGAGGTTCTGGTATAGTTTGTTAAACAAGTGGCTGGCCATTATTATTCATTATTGTTGTTTCGTTTTGGTGATTACACAATAGCTTTAGCTATAGAATGTGATAACAACTGTTTGGATGGACTGTGTCATTTGGGAGTCATCCAACTTAATTTAGTGTTTATCATAATATTCAGTTCTTGTGCGACATGGATCAGTCAAGTTCAAGGATTCAGACACCCAAAACTTTTGACGAGGAAAAAGGGTGTGTTATCAATTCTGTTCTGAAATCTACAGTTTACAAGAACAAATGAGCATTACAGATTTTTCAAGAATGGCAAGACCAAAAAGCACTCAAGATTTGCACCATTGAGCTAGGCGGACTGTTTAAAGGTGAAGACATATTGGTCTGGATGTGCAAGAGTTGACTGCAAGCATTGAAATCATGAATTCCAAAAGTCTAAACTAAGGGCTATCCAAGTTCGTGCAACAGGTTGCAAAAAAGTCAGGTGTATGATATCTGCATGTCTCGGATTGTCTGTGGCTTTAAACGTTTCCTGGTAGAGAAAAATGGAGAGGGCACATTGGATTCTTTGGCTGTTGGTGACAAAAGGTATCATTTCAACTGATTTTGAAAAGTTTTATTTGAGCTTTGCATTTTAACTTTGTGTAACTTGTGTTGTTTCTTCCTATAGGTTTGGGACATTTCGAACTGTGATAATATGTGAATTACATTCTTCAAAAGAAATAGATGTTTGTTGTTTGCATGAGACGTTATTTACTTAGAATTAATTTATTCATGTCACATGATTTTTCTAGAATCAGCCAACATTTGGATTTTGTATCCAAATCTTTAAAGACTTTCATCTGGTTTTTCATTGGGACTCCAAATGCATCCACGTGATGCAGTATATCCAGGTGTTGACTGGTGGGCATGAAATATGAATTATTATTAATACACTTGAGAAGTCGTTACTCCAGATTCAGATTGCGTAATATCTCGCTTTCCCCCAAATGTAAGTGAGTAGCCCTCTGATCAAACATGGCAAACAAGCTTACTACATGTAACTGGCCAAGGCTATTTTTTGTGGACTGAGAGTCACCACCATTATATTATGATAATTTGATGGCTTCCTTTCCATGATTATAGCTTGCATATGTCAACAACGATGGCCACATCCCATTAAGAATCCAGTACATTTTATACAGAATCCAACACCCCTGAATTTTCAGAACCCTTTCCTGAGGGGTTGACCCTGACTTTGGGATCTTTAAGCGATTGCAGGCAGTCAACAGAAGGCTGGTATGTACTCTGTTGTTATCTTATCTCTCCATACTCTGTAATGCCGTGACTTGGTGGTCCCATTCGATATACACCAACAGTTTGGTCCTTTGATGCTGTTACTAAATCTATTAAGAAAGTTATGTTAAGGAGAACAAAATAAAACCACAGTCAAACTAAGGAACGAGAGAGATTACTCTTACTGTGGATTTTTAAGTGAGGATGTGCCACTGGTACATCAAAGCCCTTACCCCTTTAAGCCCAATATCCACCTACAAATTCTCCACAATGATCTCCATAAATATTCTTAAATTCTATACTGATGATGTCCCACCAGTGGCGGATCCAGGGGAGGGGCCAGGGGGCCCACCCCCCCTTATTTTTAGACCAAACTGAGGGCTGAAAAAAAATTTTTTGGGCGACCGGACCCCCGCCCCCCTTATCTAAGGGTCTGGATGACTGGGTCCCCTCCCCCCCTAATCTCAAGGTCTGGATCTGGTACTGGCCACTACCTGTACTTAGATCTGGGTAGAGAGTAGTGACACATCATCAGTATAACAGAATTTCTATGCTCGTTCCTCAGATATAACTTTGCAAAGAAACTGTAGGTGGCATCCTGAAATGTTGGTTATGTTCTATAAGGCTATGCACAATCACGTCTGCTGAGAATTAGAAGTACATTTAAAATGCATATAGCTAAAGATACATTCATCATAAGGTGAAATATCAATGTCCTCCACAGCATCTGAGTGACAGAACAAATCCTCTACAAACTCGTGATGATCAGGAAAACGTCGATATCTGTAAGAACAAATTATGAACAATCTTGATCAAATTCACAGACCAAAAATATATATATAAATTTAAGGTTCATTTTGTACAAATATGCAAATGGCTTTGGAAGCAGAATTAAAGAAATGTTGCTCATAATGTGTGTACACTTCAACATTGTTATAGCAACAGACATTTCACAATTTCACTGAAATTAATAGAGCTGAATTTTTTTGAAGGAAGTGACAGCTACAAAGTAAGATTTGAATTTAATTATTAAAAATAACAAGTTGTACCTAGGCCTACAGTCTAACCTCTGTTGATTGATAATTAATCCTTCAGGGTAAGCACTGACAGTAATATTAACAGATGTTCTGTTTTCAATGATTTACTGATAATTTCAGTAGTCCTGGGCTGGCTAAAAAGAGGGATAGCTACATAATAGGAGCTAAGTTTTAGACGTTTAACAGTAATTGACATCTGTTGATTTAAGAATAGTTGCAAATTAATATTGCTAGTCGCTAGTCAAGAGATCACTAATGCCAGTTACCACAGAGTATGACTTACTTGCGAACAACTCCTCTGTCACAGGCAGTAAATAGTGTACTTCCATTAGAAGTATACCTGAAAATACAAACTCTTCGCGTCAAAAATATTATTTTCATACTTGGTCTCATCAACCAAATGACTTTATAACATTACTTTGACTCTTAATAAAGGAAATTCTTAAATTCATAAAATGTTCTGCATACTTGATTTTCCATAGTGGATCTTTCCCATGTTCTTTCATACATTCTTGAACCCCAACTTCTGGGACAAAACTTGTCAAATTTAACTCCCTTCCAAACATGATGAGACCTAAAAGACATTGCACAACAAGACAAGGAAAAATCATCATTTTCGATTATTTTGAATTGCTATACAAGTGTCATTTTAATTAGCCCGAAAAAAATTTTTCATGAGCAGGATTGATTACAGTTCTTCTGTAATGTGAATTTCCTAAAAGAAATTCATTTGCCAATAGGGTAAATTGAGAACAAAATTCACTAGCCCGATAACAATATTAAAATCCACTAGTCAGGTCACCGGGCTATCGGACACGACTTTCTTTGCACGCTGGTAAAGGAGTACATAAGTAACTGCTGTCTTGTTATACATACCAGTCAGCCATAAACAAGGATTGGGAAGGAGCACTTTTCACAAAGTGGATCTTGCACTTTTTGCCCAATAGGCAAAATCTGTGAAGAAGACAGGAGGATAAGCTAAACTTCTTTGAAACCTAAATGTCTTGTTTGAATAACAAACTGATATGATAACAGAAACGTAAGAGCCAAAGTTATCTCATCTACATGTATGGGGCTAAAATAATAAAAAATTAATGACTTAATTTGGGGGGCTTCTGTAAACGACCTAATAAATGCCCAAGGTATCTAGTTAACTCTAGGGGTCCAAGTGGGGACGATTAATAGATAGGAGGCATTTATTCTCATTACTGCAACAAGCTCAATGAAACTTTCTTTTGGCAAAAATATCAAGAGAGTTTAAAAATAGTGATATATCCACTCCATCAATTGATACGTCTCGGCTGTCTAGAGATCCATATCGCTCTTTTTCAAATCCCAACATCGATGTTAGAATCCACATTCGTTGTTATTGTGTAGCCATCATTAGTCTATCCTCATTTTTAACTTGACATTGAACACGATGAAGTATGCATTTACCCTTGTCAATCAAGCAAGAAACTGAATGAATTGAATGATTTTGCACCTTTTCGCTAATTCCTAGTATTTTGGAGTAATTCTCATGGGGAGCCGTCTACCTATTCTCGGTTTGCAAACCATTCAATACATAACATCTAGAATCTGGGAAATAAAAGAAGATAAATATACAAAACGTCTTGCCAAAAATCAGGTCTGTGCAATATTTCAAATGTGAGATATTCGGAAAAACGATTTACCTAAATTTATAAAGCTTTGTATGGAAATGCCATGTTGGAGTCCCTTTCAGGGACACCAATATGGCCGCCGGATACCAACAGAAACATCTGTTTTTGAGTTTTCTTTCTAATGTGTGAATTCTTCGGTGGAGGAACTCATAAAGATTAAAGTAATATTTATTCTGAGACAAGGAATCTTTAGATAGCAAAATCTCCCAAAATTGGTAATGTTTTTAACCCACATAAGAGCTCTCCTGGCCATCAGCTTAATGCCATGTCACGCAAAAGCCTGGAAATTCAAGAACCCTTTGGAACCAAATATTTGTTTATATAAAGGAGTTAGGTGCTGTAATACCTCATGAAAGTAGCAACTCAGAAGAATCGATAGTTTCTTAGTTTGATTTTTAGTGACGTCACGTGCAAACCAAGAATTAGACGGGGCATCGAATGAAATTTCAACAGCGTTGAGGGGGTGTTTATGCGGAAGTGAACTTTTATTAGGTTAGTTACGGTGAATGATCATGACTTACAAATACAGTGTGCAAAGAAAGTCAAGTCCGATATCCTAGGGCTAGTGGATTTTGCTATCGCATCGTGCTAGTGAATTTTGTTAACTTGCCCGACGGGCAAGTGCTGTGCTTTGGAAAAAATTCAAATTACAGAAGGATTGTAATCAATCCTGCTAATCAAAAAGGGTTATGGGGCTACCTGAAATGACTTTTGGGCTAGTAAATTAATGCTTGCTACAGCTTTCTCGAATGGCAGGCTGTAAAACTGACTTTCTTTGCACCCTGCAAATAGGGGCTAAGTGACTGGGGCTGAATGAGCAGAAATCATAAAATTAATAGCACATACTTGATGATCCCACTGGAGTTCTCGCATGACAACCACTTGAGCTGCTGCAGCTGTTCCGGGGGACTTTTGTTTCCTTTTACTTTTCTTATCACCTAATAGATATGACAAACACATAAGAATAAAACTTGTTATACATGTAGCTATCACTAAGCACCAACAAGCAACGATTTTACTTATACATACACCCCGTTCAATTTGTTTAGAAATGTTATGAATTACCATAACTTATGAGAATGCATGCTGCAGGTTAGTCATGTGTCCATCATTTACTGTCATGGAATGCACTCATGCATTATTCTGCGCACATGTTTGCTCAGAAACAATGCATTCTCTCTTCTGCATTACACCATAGAAGTTACCTTACACTACTATGTTACATCGCTCATGTTGAAACGCAGACCATGTAGACTGCAGACTGTGCAGACTGAGTGTGATTTTTTTTCTTCTTGTACCTTAATTTTCTAGTAAAAAATTTTTACTATAGTTTCCCGAAGGAGCGAGCACGATGGAGGAAGGTAAGCTGTTTCTTCCTGTAACTGTATTATATTGCCATGATTATTTCAATTTTTTTAGTAGAGGAAGCTTTTTCCAGTTAAGTGACTTAAAATAAAACCCTTTTCAGCTTCCTACAACGGCTACGAGAGAGACATTTCCTCAATTTCCTTGATTGTTGATGATCGTCTTTGGTTTCACTCTGTAATTCAAACCAGTGACTTGCCGTCATTTGTCTGTAAAATATAATACTGACCTCCCTCCTCCCTCCTCCCTCCCATTCAAAGTTGTTCCTCCAAGTTTTGAGTATGGTCTTGTATTGCTAGCAACTTTGATAAGGGGTGGAGGGCGGATCACAAGCACAAGATCATGGACAGGCCATTTATGCCAAAATATGGTACAGTGTCTCAAGTACTTTTGCAACTGGTTGTCTCATTTAAGGTTTACTTCAACAAGCGATTTCCACGTCTTAAATTCCCAAAACGAAGACTATAACGACATAAATAAATAGAATGGCACTTTGTGTTGCTTTTCCTAGCCGATACATCATTGTTATTGATAGCAAACTGCCTAAAAAAGTGCTTAAGAATGTAGTGACTTGTAATTATTTTGCCTCAGTTTTGTTGTAACGCATGCGCCATTATCTACCATGACATAGCTTAAAGTTTTGGCGTTGTAATTAAACTCTGAGAAGTGCGAATGCATATAATAACAGCATAATTTTCCTTTTCTTGGTATTTAGAGATACTATAGTTGCGAATAAAGCTGCCAAACCTTCATTTTCACCCCTGTATCTGTAACGCAATGACATTTGATATGCAATGGCGTTATGTAATCGGTATACCGCGTGACTTATTTTTCAACATTGCTGTTAAAGTAAAACCGTTCAGTCTTTTTCATCTACTATGGTGAAAATAAGATGGTTATTAAAGTCCGTTAGAGCTAGAGAGCAGAAAAAGTTGTGTGCTATGTTACTTTCTATTTTCTGACGGTCTACCATCATTCACGGTCTACCATTCTGCAAGTAAGAAATAGAATATATTATTACATTTATCTCATATGATGGTAGACCATGCAGACTGTTGAAGCACGTAAATTCCTGACATTGCTGTGCTGGAAAATTGCTTTTCTTGGGGATAGTGTCTTCCTTTTTGCTAAGAAATAAATTTCCTTACCAAGTACAGAACTATGTTACTGAAATACGCGCATGAATTTTCATTATCCGATGCCTCGCCACACTCGGGCTTCAAGTGTCTCAAGTACTTTTGCAACTGGTTGTAGCTCAGAAGATTCAGGTAAGACTTTTGTTTATGTATTTTTTTATTCGACTCTCAAGAGTGTCCTTCTGGGCGGGTTTTCACTCGGGGATCGACAATTGTATTTGCTCCATGCATTCATGCCAATAAGTGGTAGCTAGTGGTTTGAAACCGACAATCTTGTTTGAGTATCATGGTTCTTGTTTATGCAGCTCCAAAACTAAATAGTTCATTAGTAACGAATGTATTATTTGTACAACTCGAGGATGTGGAGGGGGTTTTAATGCGCATTGAACTAGATCCCCCGCCACGTATTTTAGGTTTATTTTGTCTTAATTTTCATTGAATATTATGTGTGAGAAGTTTCAAGTCGCTGCCCTTCTTCTCTTAATTCTGACACTTATGGAACCGCCAAACACGTCAAAATCAGAATTATATTTATTTTTAGGTAGATATACCGTTGATTTATTTACACATTTTAAAGCAAGGCCCATCTCTCAAACGTCTCAGTTTGATATCCTGAGCTAACAATGATGACATTGGTATCTGTAAGATTTGAAGAATTGACCGCAAGTCACCGGTTTGAATTACAGAGTGAAACCAAAGACGATCATCAACAATCAAGGAAATTGAGGAAATGTCTCTCTCGTAGCCATTGTAGGAAGCCGAAAAGGGTTTTATTTTAAGTCACTTAACCGGAAAAAGCTTCTTCTACAGCATAACTGAAAAAATAAATAATTGTGGCAATATAATACAGTTACAGAAAAAAACAGCTTACCTTCCTCCATTGTGCTCGCTCCTGCGTGAAAGAGGCACAGCTAAAAGCACGCGAAACTGCTTTTCTATCAGCCGGTAAACATGAGCCAGTGATTTTCTCATTTCCTACCCATGACCCTTGCAGGTACACATCAGTGCACATAATGAGAGGAAGCAGGAAATTATAGTAAAAATTTTACTAGAAAATTAAAGTACAAGTAAAAAAATAACACTCAGTCTGCACAGTCTGCACGGTCTGCAGTCTGCATTCTGCAGTCTGCATGGTCTGCGTTTCAACATGACCGATGTTACATCACTTCGAGATTCATTATGCCTTGGAACTTTTGCACAGGGCTTTATTATGCTCTCGCCTCACAGCTCCTTGGCAATAACTATACAGGGTTTCAAAAAGTATAATCTTGCAGCTAAGAGGACTTTTAACAATCTAGTGAAATGTTGCATATGCAGTTTACTCGATTTTACTTGAATCTTATCATCTGAAAACTGCACAACCTGTCATTACAACCTAACTATACTCTATGACCTCTACCTGAACAACTTTTACACAAATCCAGAAAAAAATAAATAATCAAAAAATTTTGACTAGGATTTGTGTACAAATAAACAACTCTTTTTCTATTTCATTACAAAAAATCATAGTTGTATAGCAGATGATACACATGAATAACAAATTCTTTAAAAACAATATAAGAAATTTTACTGAAAGGATAGAATTTTGTCACTTACAGTACACACTAAATTACAGAACAACTGAAGGCAAGAATTAACATCCAATAGAGCAGTGTAACTCTACACAAAAGCAGGCAGAGGCAGACCTACATCTTGAGGCCCAAACATCCAGAGCTTAACCTAATTTCTGTAGCATGAGGAATCTACTCTGTAGGAGTATGGCTAACCTCTCTGGATGGGATACGTGCTCATCACAGGGACACCCTTGTTGCCATTCAACTTAATAAATTTACCAGAGCTTTGGAAGTTTTCAAAAACAACTTGAAATTTATTTATGAGCCCAAATACAAGAGAACTCCGTGACAGATCAGTTAGTGACAAAAGGGTGAAAACAGGTAAGATGTAACAACAAAAAGACCATTCTTGAAAAACCTGTTTTTCCAATTAGGTTTTTCCAGAAGGTTCTAGAAACATCTGTACAGTGGAACCTCGCTTTAACGAAGGGCCAGACGACTACCAAAATGTGTTTGCCATATCGACGAGGTTTCGTTATATCGAGGTTCTTTTTCATATCTTACCATGACTGGGGTAAAGAAAATCGTTCGTTACACCAGACTTTGTTATACAGAGTTTAATTATATCGAGGTTCCACTGTAATATTGATTGTCTCTTTTGAATAAACAAACATTCACAGAAAAATGAAAAACTTGTCAATGTTGCTTATTTCCTCAAGCAGGGCTGTTGCTCAGATTTCAAGTTGTTTTTCCTATGTAGGCAGGGAAATGAACAGCAACAAATTTCTGTTGCAGGGCTCAAAACAAGTCCCATCCAGTAGTCCAGGTCAGGTGGATTTTCTTGCTGGACAAGTAACTTTTAAGGCTCACTTACCCAGGTAAAAACAACTGATCCTCTAATAAAATCATTAACTAAGACATGGAAGAGGCGGCTCTAACCAAGCAAAATATGAGAGCTGCTTGCCCCAAGGACAACCTGGACTTCAAGATTTTTCAAACACTGTATTGGTTCTATATTCTATATTCCATTTTCTTATGAAAGAAGCCAGGGGTCATGCTCATAGTAGCCAAAGGGAATCCACTGTCTCAGGCTCTTATTGACAGAGATGCTCAAGAGTGTGTGTCTCTCAACAACCTTCACAAAGCATGCCTCAGGTACCCATTTATACACCTGGGTGAAGAGACAAAGTGGACTAACGTTTCTTGTCTAAGGAAACAACATGACAGCAAGGCTTAAAACCAGACATACAATGTACAGCGTTGAAAGAAAATTATTGGCTTCTTTACCTTCAGATCCTGTCCTCGACTTTTCTCCACTTTTTCCTTCCTTTTTCTTGCTTTTCCCAGATGACAATGAGCTTGCTGACTTGCTCTTTGCTTTCAGTTTTAAAGAAATGTTTCGTCTAACTGGCTGTGAGGTGGACCCTGGAGCTGCTCCTTCATGCTCCAATTCAAGATCTACCAAAACAACATAAAAAACTAACGGATTAGTCTGTCTTTGGTACGATGTATAGAGATCTTTTTGTCATGGATTTACATGTATTTTTCCAGGCACTAAAAGAGATAACGTCTAGATCACTTTGTTAATATTATTTTTTCTAATTACACTTGCTTATGTGCTGAAGAACTTTACGTTAGTATAGGTAATAGCATGATTAGTAGTGATATTTGGTTTAAATACCACAAGTGATATTTCAAAATTGTTATACGTAATTTCACAAGCCGGTAGGCGAGTGAAATTTGATACAATTTTGAAATATCACAAGCTGAAACAATGGGCTGTTTGAAATTACTGAGATCTTGTGCGTCTTGTCTATGCGCTTAATGTGAGAAGGCATGAAATCCAGAGAATTTGAATCTCATTATATTTGGAATTTTTGGAAGGAAATTTTAAACAAAGTTTTAACATCTAAGAAAACATACAGTTAACATAAAAGTATGTGTGTATTATAACCTTTGCCTTACACTATCATTACGCTATAAATTATTATCCAGCTACTGGCACTTTCCCTAGAAAATTGACAGTGAATTTTTGTTGCCGACATTACGTAATGTCCGCAACGTTAAGGTACCTTTTTTCAGTTCCTGTACACAGTGTGCTGTATTTTGATGTGCTATTGATGCTCCTCAGTTAGTCTGATGTATACTCTATTTTAATCTCAAAACATTTCCTGGGTGGGTTTTCTTTGCTCAGAAATTATACGTTGAAAAGTGTTGCGGACATTACGTTGTGGACATTGCACATGTTAGATTTTTCATTTATTCAGGCTGTTGTGGATATTTAGTTCTTACTATCTCTGAATTAGATTCAGACAACAGCCCACTTAACACTAAATTGCTTTTTATTGATGTACAAATGTAAATGGCAAATTAAAAAGAGCTGGTAGCTTTACAGAAAATGTCCAATGAATTTAATTCACAAACTATTAAAAACATTCTAAATAATTTACGATTTCTGTGATATTCTTGAAAATGGGCAAAAATAGTGATTTTCAAATTAGTTCCTTCCATAAAGTAGTATAGATGCATGACGAATTTTGCAGTACTTTAACAGAAAAACAGAAAAATATTTTAAAGAGTTTATATGGTTTTGGGGGATGCTGTCACAAAATTATGAAGTGACATTTGTATGGATCTTTAACTGTGTTTCAAGAGTCATAACTTGATCCCTGTTCAACTTTAGAGCACCAAACCTGCTCAACCAACCAATCTCAACATGACCTTTTATATGGTGGTGTCAGTTTATCGATTCGTTTAAATTTGAAACTTGCCCCAGTTCCCTATGGAACTCCAAAATGGCCAATGAGTAGCTGGTCAGGGGTTTTGTACTGCTGAGCATGCTCAGAACAGTTTGTAAGCATGCTTTTTGAGGAAAAGCACTAACCATCATTGTTTCTTCCACAAACTTGAATGGGTATTATTTTTTTAACAAGAATTTGTTATATAATGTGTAGTAAACAATGTGCAATTTTAGTGCAAATTTACATTTTATCTATCTTTAAGTCAGACTGAATGACAAAATATGATAATTTCAGTAGCCAAATCAGTTTTGTAAAAAACAAAATAATATCCTCACTACTGAGAACATTTTTTTCTCACAACATTTACTTGAGATGTAATAAAATTAATTTGGAAATTATTTTAAGGAGTCAGTGTAGCAGAAAAAAATCTGACTGGTATTGCATGATACTAGGTCTCAGCAGGAGATCATATAATATTATAATAGATCATAAATAAAGTAAATGATAATTTCACAGCTTCATTTTTAGACAAGTAACTACAGAACAAATGGACATAGCCACAGTCAGCAACACTGACTAGGAAGTGAATGATAAAAAAATGTGTTCCCAAAAATGTAATGTCCGCAACAATTTTGTGTAATGTTCGCAACACAAACTTTTGTTTGTAGAAGGTTGCATGGAATTTTTTTTGGACAGTTGAAAAATCTAATTATTGTTATGTTTTGAAGGCACAATTATTTTCTGCTCAAGGTTAAAAATTCACAGGAAAATCTCTTCAAAGAAAGTTACTTTAAAAAGTGGTTGTTTAAACTGTAATGTCCGCAACACATTTTCTTCAACTCATACCTTCAAGGTCTTAAGAGCTAACCAAAGCATCTTTTTATTAGGTACAGAGGGAACACTAAAAAGACTTTCTAGATATGTTTGAACACCCTTAATGAACATTTTGACATCTAAATTGGGGTTTAAAATATTAATTTTAGTATCTGAAAGTAATGTCCGTAACATGGAATCACCCTAAACCTCAAAGAAAACGAAAAAAGCTGCCAAAAGTAAACTGTTCAGGGTCAAGTACTGTGAAATTCACAACAAGCGGCTTATAAAGGGTCTAATTATCCCAATGGAAACTGAGCTAAACAACTGATCAACAACTAAAAGAAATACATTTCATACTGTTAGAATTTTGAGAAAATTCGTGGACCAAAAGATGATATTTACAAAGGAAAAAGGTACATTTTTCATGGTCATTTTCTGAGAGTAATGGCAGAAATTCTCCTAGCACCTGAAACTAATTATAAATTGAAGTATTAAACCCTCAAAGATTAGATATGTAATACTAGTGAAATAAATATGAAAAAAGACTTAATAACATAAAGAAAACATGTTTTTAAAACTGAATAGCGCCAAATTAAGGATAAATTTAAGAAATAAGCCAGTGGGAAAGCATGCTTACCGTCCTCCATCTTGAATTTTCCAGTGCTTTAGCTTATGACCGCTGTGCAGCTTGTCTCTTGATTGAGCCTTCGAAACTATTCCCCAGGCCTACTCCAGGATGAACTTTTTTCCCCACGTACCGATAACCCTATTTTACATTGTACTCACTATCTGTCTTCTCATTGGCTGAGAGCCTATAGATAGTGTTGGAAATCAGCGCAACCTAGTCTACAGAACCTACAGATTAGTTAGTTATCTGCTAGCGGATACCTGACTAATCTGTAGATTGAGCGCGCAATGCATGATTTCCAATCACATGACGGTGTTTGTCTTTTTAGAAATACGCATCACTTCGCATTTATCAGTGTTAAATCTCAATTGTCCCAATATTCCAAACGAGTAAGATCTTTCTGCCGAGTTCTTCAACATCTTCCTTAGGGTCCCTCAGTACCCTAGACACCTTCATATCATCTGCAAAGAGTCTTGTGCACGACGTAATTCCTTGAGATATCGTTATGAAATCTGGGTTTGTTTTTCTTTTGTTGAAAAGCATTTTTTCAGTTAACTGTAATCAAATCCAATCATCACAAAGTAGACAAAAAATCAAATTGAATTTACCTTTTGGCTTTCATATTCGAATTCAAATTTTGCACTATACTAACTATACTATTCTAACCCTGGGTTATCTTCAGCTGAGCGAGCTGTGACAGGTTAAACCCCGACCCGACAACCAATCAGGGTCTCTCTTCCCATTTCTTGAATACAGATGTATTTCTCTTATTTCTTTCATTTTAATCATCTAATTGATCTATTTCTATTTCTTTCCCTTTGTTCTGTTTCTTTTTATTTATTTCCTTTCTTATCATTTAAACATTTTTTTTAAAAAAATAGTTTTAACTAAAGGGAACCAGCCATCCGCATATTAATTTGCTCAAGTTACTTTCGCCTTAAAGCCTTTGAGAGAATGATTTATTTTGGGGAGAAGTAACTCGGTCATTCTTTATTTGAAATTAGTCGAGAAAAAGTTTTAACGGAAGGTCTCAAAGATCGATTACATGTTAGTCTGTTCTTAATTACAAAGTCCATATCGCCCTATATTGTAAGGTGATTCAAGACAGTCCTGGATACTCAGGACTGGACTGGATTCTACGCTGTGGATTTCAGATTCCAGGTACTGGAATCCGGATTCCCTGTCAGTGGAATTATTGATAGCAGAATTCCGGATTTTTATTAAACCTAAATTAGGGATTCCAAAGCTCAAGACTCCGGGGCGATTCCAAAAGCAAAAATTTCCCTGATTCCGGATGATTAAAGGCTGCGAGCAGTCTCTCTTTTCCTTCCGATTTAGTGAGGGAAGTACACGCGCGCAAGAAATGCAAGAAAAGAGGCGAGAAACGCGCCTATCCTGTCTCGCGCCTTCAGTCACGCGCGTGGTCATTTGCGTGCCTCGCGCGTTTTGCTCGACAGACTGAGAAAAAAGAGAGACTGCTCGTATTCTAGGATGATTACCATACATGGGGTGCCGAATTCATAAAGTGGTGACTTATGGAGAGAAGAAAGGGAAGGGATCAGCACGAAGAAGGGAACGGAGACTCACACTCTCCTTAGCTTGCGTAGCTGGCGATTTAGCGGCAGATGCTGTACTTTTTTGGCGGCCGAGCCACGAGAAGATTGGGGGCAAGTCAAGGAGAGATTTTCACCTTTCTCCCTCGCGGTTTCGCCGCTCGCTTCGAGTGGTGGCTTTTCGTCTAGAAAGTACCCCAGGCGCAATAATCCCGCCAGCTACACAGGCTACACTCTCCTTCACGCCACTCCATACTTTTAAGTGCCTGGGATAGTAATGAGCTAATGAGATGCAAAAGTGAGCATCATCGCACACTAAGGTGATCAAGCGTAACTCAAGCAACCACAGCTTGGTTTAAAACAGTGAAGGACACTATAGACCTATGGAAGAAACAGAGCTTTACTTTGCTTTTGGGTCAAATCTGAGCGCAAGAAAAATGCGGGAACGCGGCACTAGGTTCATCTCTCGCGAACGCGCAGTACTTCGAGGATTTCGCGTCGTATTCAGCATATGGAAAGACGATGGCTTTGGTTATGCTAGTATTATCCCAGATAAGGAGTCAACCGTTTATGGTGTCTTGTACATCTGTTTAAAAGGAAGTTTAACCAAGTTAGATGAACACGAAGCAGGGAGGCTTCGGAGAGTGAACGTACAGGTGGAACGAAAAAGCGGCGAAATCGTGGATGCGACAGCGTATCAAGCTTATGAAGTATCTTACTCTCCTTAATTTTCGCGGTTCTTAAATTCGCGATTTTCGGGATTTTAAAAAATTCGCGAACTTAAAGACCCGCGAAAAGGAATCCAGTGGTTTCGCCCCGTAACGAGTTCGCCCCGTTATAGTTCGCCCCTCAAGGAACGTGGTTCGCCCCCTAAAACGATCGAGTTCGCCCCATGTACATCTGGATCATGTTTATCTACTAGTGTCAATACGCTAACCTTTTTTTGTTTGTGTCTCCTTGAAGTTTAGAGTTCAACATCGACTTGATGCGTGTGCTACATAGAGGGAAACTCGCTCACGGTAGAATTCGATTTTGTGTCGCACGTTATATTAGTGCGTTACAATAAACATTTTTAATAAAGTCTGCAAGTCCTTTACTTTTCCGTTCGACAAGATAAAAAAAATCTTGTGTTTGTTATGTTTGGCCGTCGTCCTGCATTTAACTTCGAAGCGAGTTTGAGTTAATCTCTCGTAAAATTGGCGTTGTTTTTTTACGCGATGGAACTTGATACACGTGAACTTTTTCGTTACCTAGCACGTGACTGCAACTACCGTGATGAAAAATTGTGCGATGTTTCAAAAGCGGATTGCATTGCACGAGACTATATATTGCTCTCAAAGCTCAGAAGCTCTTGGAGGTTTCTGAAGTTTTCTGAAGCTTTACATGTATATTCAAATAGGAACTTTTACGTACGCAATCACGTCTCACAAACAGCGAAGGGCGGAATATCAAACTGAGATGCTATCGCGAATGGCGAAACAGCAATTCAGTTACAAGCAATGTTTTCAGCGAAATAAGACCCTGACTGCAGACACCGATGACCAGAAATTCAACTGTGATAATGCCGATGGACATTCACAAACAGGCAGTGTCGGGAAGTTGAATTCGAAAGACAAGCCGTGAGAATAAAGGCTACGAGAAGCGCCTTGAGACTTTGTTTACATAGCGTCGATCGAACATTTATTTACACAAACTTTCTTTTATTGTGGATTTGACAGATATAAAGTCATGGATTGTATTCAAGTTCCGCTAGTGAAGTAACGACTTCTGCTATTGGATACAGTGTTGACAATTGAAAGAGCGTGACATAAACCAATAAAAATTTATGGTGAATTGTGAATGAAACTTCCCTTCGATAAAATAGGCAAGTAAGCGGAGGAACTGACACGCTGCGACGATTGAAAACTATTAAGTAAACTATTAAGTTTTTGAGTGGGAAGATCAAAAACTAAATAATTTATCGCTTATAACTCCATTGTATGAACTTGTGACTTTTCATGACAATAAGGCTAATTAGCGTCCCACGCGCGGCTAATAAGAAAGAAGGTGTGATTTTTTTTTTTTACTGTCTAGTGCTCTCTTTGCACTTAGAAAGTAAAGACGGAATTTTCGTTTTAACTTAAACAACTGAATCCTTCCTGTCTTTTAAATTCCAAATAAATCGGACGCAGCATTTCATTGCCACCGAAATTAAAAGTTTTTAAAAAAGTTCAATCTTTTGTTGCATTAGTGCATTGTCTAACTCTGTTGTTATTGTAGCATTGAACGCATTTTAATTAGTTTACTTTCATAAAGGCTTCTAAATGTAATTTCCATTAACCAATCAATTGGCTGCAATTTTGATCCGTTGTAAGCAAGGGTTTAGCTATAAAAGGCCTACTTCCATTTTTATCGCCATCCGTTCATTTGAACACTATAGCCTTCAGTCTATCACTCATTCGGAAAATTCAGGAAACGTTAAAAAAGCAACATGGCAGATGAAGATTTGTGCATCGCGTGTACATTGATCGTGACTACTCGCCAGGAAGCCCTGCAGTGCGACGGCTGTCAAAAGTGGCAGCACCGAGTTTGCAACACGGGCATATCGCGTCCGGAGTACAGAAATGCCGTCCGAGCTGGAACTGACATTCCATGGGAGTGTCAAACTTGTGTGGTATCTCACATGCCCAACTTCGAGAGCACCAGATTTGATGAAGGTAAGTCAGCTGTTATAGTCTATTCTTGATATGTTGGATAACATTCTTCTTATATTGAAGAAGCTAGTTAAATATCCGCTAGACCTCAGTTCTCATCTTGACTTGTTTAATCGACAGACTTTACCGCATCACAAACTGTGTTGTCTGCCGAATCCATTGCAGAAGCCGCCGGACTGGAGGAGGAGATGAATTCCACCATTTATGACCCACCAATGGTAAGTATGGTTTATAACTATGAATGGGATCAAACATCGGAGTACTAGCCACATTATTCACGATATAACTGATTATCTTTCTCTTTTTTCAGCATTGGTCAATCGATAGCCAGTGGATTCGCGATTCGGTAACGAGTTCACCCGTTCGCGTTCACCTGTACATCAACACACCATGGTAAGTGTTCGACAAATGACAGTTTAACAATGTGTACCACACTTCTACGCATGGTTATATATATAATTAATCGAATTAATAACTACGGGTTTATTACGACTGATCTAACTAGCCACTTAATTTCTGTTTTCACTTAAGTCCTTAGGGCTTCAATCTGATCCGGATCCAGCTGAATCATCATTAGAAGATCCTGATCCGCAAACCCTGGAGAATACGGCCGGTCAGTTCTCCCTTATATTTGAGCTTGTCGAGGATTCCACCAAGAGAGGAAAAACAAAACTTGTGGACAACCACGGCTACACGTATAATGTTAAGAGACGTCGTGGGGATAATACAGACTGGCAGTGCACCGTCCGACCAAGGGTATTTTGATTTTTTTTTGGTTTCTTAAAGTCATAGAATATGTCAAGTATAAGAAATAGAATGGAAGGAAATAGTAACAAGCACGACGAATATAAAAGCAGTTCTTGTGTACCTTAACAAAGCGGGGTCTATTTGCTTTTCTTTGTCAGGTCGACCCGTGTAAGGCCACAGTAACACAAAGAGCCGACGGTGGATTCGTCCCAGGTAAACAGCAGCACAACCACCACTAAAGCACTAAAACATTGTGATTATACAAACGTTTGTAATTTTTTTTCAACCAAACTGATAGTATATGTGTAGCAGACTGACTTGGCGCAGTAGGCTTTTGGCTGTGACGGGGACCGTACTTATGATCCTTTCTCATTGCATTACAGGTTCGTGGTCGCCATTCCCGCCGTCACCTCATATTTGCCACCGATCAGCAGCTTGATGTGCTTTCCAGATCCAAGAGTTGGTATATAGACGGTACCTTTAAGCTCTGTCGCCATCCGTTTACACAACTGGTCTCCATCAACGCTTTCGTGAGAACCGAAGATCACGCCAAGCAGGTTCCATTGGTGTTTGCCCTGATGTCCGGCAAAAAGAAAAAGGACTACAAGGCGGTGTTTAAAGCAGTCATCGAGATGTTGCCTGTTCAACCCGCTGTTAAGGGCATCGTTATCGACTACGAAATGGCTGTCTGGTCTGCGAGAATGCAGCGCAGCGTCTACCGCCAACTACAATCAAGAATCTTTACCCTGTGGGAGGAATACAAGTCAGGCGAGAGGACGACCGCGAACCTTGATCTGGCGAAATTTAATGGACATAGAAAAATCATGTATTTGTGTTTTCAAGGGTCCTAAACAATTTTTAACACAAGGTGTTAGTACAAGGAGCTATCATCTATCAACTTTAGATGTTAATTTAGATTCGCCTCAAGTTCTTCTTCGGCGTCTGAGTAATCATCTTCACACAGTTCCTCCAATACATCCTTTGTACAGTCGTCAAATTGACCATCCTGTCCCGGCTCCTTGTAGTGTGTAGTTACGAGTGTCTTGTATCTTTCCATTATTGCCCTGTTCCTTGCTGTATCTGATTAGTATACAGAAAAATTATTTTTCGGTGAAGCAGCAACTGTCTTTATTGCAAAAGAAATCAGACAAACACGTGCTTTACTGGTAGATGTTATCAAAGAAACTACAGGCAACATACAAAGGTCAGATCTGTAGGGAGCAACTCGCTGTCGCATGAAACATGTATTTATGTAAGCTTATATAAGCTCACATGCGAAACGATTTTTATGATCGACACCCAAAGCTATCACATAGACTTAAATATGCTTCTATATATTTAAAAAAGATTCAGAATGTACTTACGAAACAACAAGGATCCATGATTTAAAATAGGCGTTCTTTCTTCTCAATGGTTGTTGAAACACTCAGTGTGCATTCGAGTCGCCAAGAGTGAACACTGAACTCCTTCGTCACCGCTTCCATGGGATTTGGCGTTTCATTTAAATAGTTTTTCGAACTATTATTCCTCCCTGCAGTCTATGTCCGCAATCTATCACACTCTCCTCGCTCATCTTCACAAAAAAAAAACGGCCCTGCATGTACAAAGCACCAAAATGGAAGGCGAACCGACAGCGAAGAATGTTCAAAAGGGCGCGCGATTCAAAATTCAACGTGAAAGAGAGGCAAGCATGCTCGTAAGACTCACGCCTCCAGAGCGAGGCAAAATGCGTGCAAGCGTGTTAAAAAATCATTTATAATTTATTTTTCTGTTTCTAAATTGTTTCAAATTACGCTTCAATGTTTGGAGCGTTAATAATTTTAATAACACATCTTTGAATCTCTTAGAAAAGAAAGACAGAGGAAATCATCTATCACTTTTCCAGTATTTACGACGCGTAGTTTAGCGCAGGCGATTATCTCTGTTCTTTCGGACATTCTAGGTCAATGCAATGATTCCTCATCTTGCCTGAAGCGCAATCAGTACAGTTAAAACAAATTTTATCATATGAGAAACCAGGGATTGATCATGAAAACCACCGAATTTCAGTACAAAACCGCTTGCGGAAACGCAATGGAAACGAGCTGACACGTTTAAGTCAACGCAAGCGCTGCGGAAACACGAAACAATGCCTCCATTTTCATGTTACACGTTTCCCGTCGTAACCGTCCTGCGAAAACGTAACGAAATTTTGAACCATCGGGTTTCCGCAACATTTCGGAATTGCGGAAACACCTTATTTCACCCTGTGAAAGTCACTTAATCGTCAATTTCGCGAAATTAAATTCCCTGCAAACACAATTTTTCTCCGCGATCGCGAAATTAAAGACTCGCGAAATGTGCCGATTTAAGTCCCGCGAAAATAAAGGAGAATAAGGTATGTTAAAGAGGGGCTAAAACCGAGCCAAATTTATCTCAACGAAATACTTGAAGGAGAGGATCTTATTCCTAAAAAATATGCTGACTACTTTAGAAACTTCTTGTGTGACAAAACTGGGAAATAAAGACTGACGAAATCTTTTTAATTCAGTCAACAATTACAGAAAAGTCAAGAGAACATCAATTTTTGAAGTATTTCCGTGTAATGGATTGACTTATTATTGTATTTAAATTGCAACATGTTATTCCGGTTTATGTTTTTAGAGGTGAGCTACTGGGGGTTAGTTGGTCAGTTAGGGACGGACCATTAGAAAAGTAATGGGGGGTGTGGTGGAGTTTTTTTGCCTGGGAAGAATTTTTTTCCTGGCTGATTGCCTGTGCAAGAGTGCAACCCCCTGCAGGAGCTTTTGGGCATTAAATTAATTGAAAATGACGCTACTTTGTTTTATTACAGAGGCTGTATTTTAAACGTGACTTTTGCGAGGATGCCTATATATCGAGCCACGACTCCAGTTAGAACGTTTCTAATTTTTCTGTAAGCAAAAAGAAAATAACTAAAAATTATAAATGAACAAATAAAACCTTCCCTAACCCTAACCCTAACTCTAACCCTTACCTCCATGACTGCCACGAAAATCCTCCTTTTAATGGTCATGTGACTTGCAGGAGGTGAAAATGGCGGGAAAGCGAAAAACCGTCGAGTCCTGCGTCGAGTCCTGCGTCGAGTCCTGGCTTTGATGTTAGTTTACCCGTGCAAAAACGTGTGCTGCAAGTGCAATTTTTTCTGTTTGCTAATTAGATCTATTGATTTTGTTGCCGTTCTGTCATAAGAAGTGATCCTAAACACCGGTACGGGAAAAATTATTTTCTTTGATTTAAAAATACCGAGCAACAGTCTTTTAAACTTGTCACGTGTTCGAATTTCAGTATCGGAATATCAAATTGGATTGGATTTATGGATCTGAAGTAAAACCTCGGATTTGGAGTAATAACTTTGGATCCCTAGCAAGAACTTTGGATCTCAGGAATAAAAACGTAACGTTGGATCCAATTGAAAAAACTGTGGAGTCGGGGGAAAATGCTATGTCGGATAATGAAATCCATGTTACTTGGATAAAACCTTTGGATCCAAAATATAAATTTTTATTTTATTGCACTTTTTTTACTTTGCTTAGAATGGTATTTCAGAATAATTCAGACCCCTATACTGAAGTGACTCCTGATTAGCTCGTCTCTCTCCGCTAGCTATTTCATGATGCAAATCACCACCGATATAAGGCGGTAGGACGGCTCTTGATGAATGAATTAACGCAAATAGCACAGGCGTTTCTGTTGAGATTGGGACAGGATTTTAAGGTTAACTAGCATAATGTGTTGGGCGAGAAAGCGGCTTACACTTCAGGCTAAATTTGAGTTAGAATTTTGCTTTGACCCTTTCTTGTTACATGCAATACCTGAATGATAAATTCTCTCTCACAACAAATCTCAGAGGAGCTATGTCATAGGGATTTACACGTTTTTTTCCGTCAAAAGTGGCTCAAAATAAAATTGCCACCAACCTTCTTCACATAAATGTACACTAAATGTTATATCTAAGAGGAAAATACAAAGGGAATTTTAGCAGAAAAATAGTCTAAAGGACGTTTCTGTATGAGGCAGCAGGATTCCTTTCAATTTTAAAAATAGTCGTTTGGTCATCAGATCAGAGTAAACTTCAAGTTAAATGAGTCACCAGTGCGAACAATCCAATAAAAGCGCAGTTTCTGATTATAAACGCTTACTAATAGTCTCTAGCCGATCCTACCCTACCTTATACTACTCCCAACCATACTAAGCACGCACCTTATCTAGTTCAATCACACACATAATAGGGGTAACGCCTTTGAAGGGTTTTTTTTTATTAATCATTTTTGCTGAAATTGTTTTATCCCAGGCAAGATCAGGCAGAAGGGTTCAAATCTCAGCTCTCTATGCATGTTTAACACTCTTTTATAATATCGACATTAACATCGGGGACGAAATCGTAATGTATATATTTTGGCACATCCATTTACCAAGACGCAAATCTTTTTAAACGCCTCCCTATTATTAGACTATGAGTAGTCCCCATTTTTCCTCAGGGATACTAGAGCGAGCGAAACGCGGCCGCGCGTGAAACTCACTCCACGCTCTCTACCGCTGCATCTTGCTTTTCCTCGCATGGGGAGATTTTCACGTGCGCTCGCATTTCGTTCGCTCTAGTCTCTCTGAGGAAAAATGGGGACTTCTCGTAGTCTACCCTATTATTGACTCTGGACATAAAAGAGGTCCCTCTCAAAACTTAAAATAAATTAACACACTCTCCAGGGTTTTAATGGATCTTTTACGGTATCGTTCAGTTTAAGGGTAGGAACGTCGTCCCCTTATTCATTGTCAAACTTCCTTTGTACCCCTTAGAAATTAATTAACTAGGAACCTCAAAAGGGTATAAAGACCGGAAACGTACTGATTTTCAAGGAATATATGTCAAATATTTCACGTGACAAAAAATATTCTGGAACTGAGGGAGGTTGTCCATTTTAATCATGCAAAGATTGTGTTGAGGGCTTGTGAAGCTCGCTAGGCTTTGAAACAAGAGGACCAAGACTCTGTTCTTTCTCTTTAAGACAGCAGTTTAATCTTCAACAGCTACTGACAACAACTCTACAAATTCTGCTAGCTTACACAGCGAATTAAATAACTTAATTGTAGACTTATTTTGGGTTAGCTGACCGTAAGAGTTTCTATTGAATATCTCATCGCCTATATTGCAACAGGTTTGCTATAGTTAGATAAGCCTACACAGCCGCAACCGACAAGTATCAAAGAACCAGTTAAATGCTAACAGTGAAACTGCCCAGAAGGACTAAATATACAAAACAGGAACTCGATTGTGGGTAAAACTCAAGGTCAGCTGTACTCCCCAAACAAGCCTACTTAAAAGAACCAAAACTAAGCTTAACAAACACTTCAAATGGATAATACTAGACAAAAACTCAGGAACTAACCATGTGGGGAAATACACTGAATCTCTAAGTCTATAAAAGTCTATAAACTGTTTATCACGAAGCTAGCAAAATCTTAAAAATATCAAAACTGAAAAACAAAACTAAAGGCAACTACCTCATAACAATTGCAACTGGTTTGTGTGCCTTCATATTTGCTGGAGGCTGAATTATTTATAACGGATAGACAAAGATACAGAAAAACCTCTATTAACCGGACACCAGCGCATTTCCAGAGCTTCTGACGTTTAATTGGTGAAGTCGCAGTAACTCGACAGTAACGGAATGAGACAATAAGAAAACCACAGGATTTTGCTTTACCTGGTGTACGACCTGTTTGTCAAAACTGCGGGAAAGGTTTCATGCCCAAACATAATTTTTCATGCTTGTTTTCTAGCAATTGCGATTTGCTTTTTAGACAAACTATCCCAATTTATTTCACCATTCTATAGCCGGCGCTTTGCTAAAAATAGTAAAAAAATGCTAGAAATCCGATTTCTTTTAATGAACTAAGTTCACGTAAAATAGTCGTTCGGGAGTTTCGAGAAACGCGGAGCTGTGATATAAACGTATGTACTGAAAAGACTTTTCTGACGGGGATTAGCTGAAGCCTTTTTACAAAACCAATACATTTTCTTTGACTCAGAACTTTTATTCTCCTGCTGCTTGTGAGTTATAATTCTCTCTCTATTCTCTCTGGTAAATTAGTGTTACACCCATTTTTATACCAGCCAGAAAACCATCTGCTTAGTGTAAACTAATGCTGACGTAAGTCTAATCTGATAAGTTGAAACAGCCTTATTAGCATGAAATCTTCGAGATAATTACTTTGTGAAACTGGTTTTTCTACTTAAGTTTCCGCTATAAGCTTAGGTTAACTGGCCAATACAAAACAAAGAGAACAACATAAAAACTGCAAAGTATCTAGTCATATTCAAACTTTTCATAACAACAGATAGGAAAAAAAAGTGCTATAATTACAGTTTGAAAATATTAGGTTGTTGTCGATTTACAGAAGGTGTTAACCTTCTTCATTGAAAATGATTGGCTAAAACGTTTCCCCGGCCATAAATTGACCACGGACGTGATCGCAAAACTCAGAGGGTAAATTAAAAATGCTGTTCAAGGTACAAGGCAGAATTTAGAAGATTAGAACAATAGTTGTTTACCCACAAAAACACCTATAAAATCACTTAAATCTAATTAAAGTTATCCACTGCCGTGAATTCGGTCAAAAACTCAAGGAAACACGCTCAAAACTGTTAAAAACAAGTAAGGAACTTAATTATTTCCTGGTAAACATCAACGGAAGAACAGATTAAGGTCAAAAATGTTAAACCGAACAAAATACTTAATATAAACAAGGATTTGCCATCTGTGAACACATTTCATGAATAGAAGTGTTACCGCGGAGATGCACCAAATTGGAACATCTCCTTTGCACCCAATTCATGTCAGGAGAAGGTTTGTGTTAGTGACTATTTTTAAAGTCGAACTTGTAGACGAAAGTGTAATTCTAAACAACTAATAAATGAGCCTCCATGATACCGAACATCAACAAGGTGCCTCCGATCCCATTAGCGGATCGACTAACTGGTTTATGTGTATACCTTTTGTACCCTAATATATTTCCTTCCCAAATCAACATCATTTCCCCAAAAACCAACCGTAATGCCCCCTGAACAGTAACGTCTTACCTCATGTATGAGTATTTTATGTAAACCAACACTGCTTGGCAACTAAGAAGGTTAGGAGGGTAATGTAGTGCCGCAAACATGAAAAAATCTTACAGAGAGCATGCGCTTATAGTCAAAAACGAAAAACAAACAAATTACCAGTATGTTCACCAATATTACATAATCACTTGCTCCCTACAAGTGAAACATAATTGGCCGAAATGATTGTTATTATATCAGTCCAATTGCTGCAATTGCTACGCTTGCTACGTTTGCTTAGCTTGCTACACTTGTATCCGGCGCTTGTGCTACACTTGCTACGCCGCGCTTTCTATGCTTGCTGTACTTGTTACGTTTGCTATACGCTTGCTACGATACACTTGCTGCGCTTGCTACAGTACATTTGCTATACTTGCTTCTCTTACTACGTTTGCTTGCTACACTTCTTGCCCCTGCTATGTTGGCTACGCTTGCTACATTCAACAGGTGGTGTCAATAGACAACCCTATCAGAAACTTTTTACATTGTCTCATGAGGAATCTCATTCATTTTTTTATTTTATCTAAGTTGACGATTTAGTTCAATTTTCCGTTTTGTGTAAAAAAAGACTTATTAACTATGATTTCCATCAGCCAATCAGGACACCGCTTCACTGAGGTACGACATTTGTATGCCAGTGTTTAATAACCTTACGCAAGAAGGTATACTTTCTTTGTCAGCATTACAAAAGTTCTACATCTTAATTTGCTTTGACACTTATTATAGACACCAGTTAATATTTAGATAAACAAAACGATTAATTTATTGGAAGAAGTTAATTTTTATAGGTACAATTTAGATCTGGTGTAAAACGTATCCTCTATAAAGATGTATAATTAATGGTCATGTAGACTTGCAAAGTTTGTTTTCTACACAACAAAGATCGACGGACTCTTTAACTTGTTTTGACCAGGCGCCAAACAATTACGGAGTTTAATTTCCTTAGGTGGTCTTTCTTTTTTCTTTCCTGCTTAACCTCTTGTATGTAAAAGGTGTCGACAAGAGAAATCAGGAAACTTGATGGTAAAAACAACGTCGGGAACGCGAAGCCTGGGCTTTTGAAATAGAAATCCTTCGTCTATCAAAAAGACGAGTAAATGTAAAACTACATTTATTAGTGATTTAACCTAGGAACTGAACAGGGAATTTGACTTCAGTATTAGGATGGAGACCACTCTATCGAGACTAATAAATTAATTATAACTTAAACCAATCCGCCAAAAGAATTAAAAACTACAACTGTACAAATAATATAACGGTAAAGAACTATATTAAATTGCTAGTCCAAGTGCCTCTGTCCCATGTGGTATCAATGAAAATGCCGAAATTGACTACTGATATCCTGATATTTCAGTTTCAGGTGGCTATAAAACAAGTTTCAAGTTCACGCGACTGGTCGCAAAATAAGCTACGAAACATACACCATAATTTTCAGACTACGCAAAGCTTCAGTTTATTTCTGGATAGCGTATAGTTTTCTCTTCTTGATAAAGTGTTCCTATTCCTGCGATAAACGCTCCACCTCGTAATTGTGACAAAATAAGAATTCAAACTGACTTCAACTTCAGATAGTTAGAAACTGCTTCACTGCATTCGTCATCATGATACCTATACAACAACAACAACAACAGCAAAAAGTAACGTTAACAAGCTAACAAAAGAAAAGCGGGATTGTGGTTTCATCTGGCGAGGCATAACATTTTGACAACTGACTTCTAAGAGTGCGCTCCATTGATCGTACTCCGGAATAAGAATACGCAAAAGTTTTGTTACAAACCTCTTCTATACCGTAATTTTTGAACCATTTAAAGTTTATATAGATCAAAATACTTTATTTCAAGCAGTTTTGTAGAATGAAAGACAGAACAAGTGATTTCTGGCGAGTTTATTCCATTAATTTATTTTTAATAAAGACGGAGAATACGGTGAATCGAACACGCCCTAAATCTATCAGAACAAAGGGTCACATTTAAACTCGTAACTTCAACCAACGATTAGACTTATTGTAGATTTAAATAAACTTGCATACCATAAATTCTTTATTAAGCCTTCCTCTCTAATAGGCTCCCCTTTTAAGAGAAAAATTATTTAACCTCTCGTCCCCTCTTTCAAGTCTGTTCTCCCTATTCTTATATAATAGACGTATGATAGATGTATTAATTTATGACGACTGTAACACTTCATGTGGAATGATTTTCAGGTACGGTTTATTCACGAGCTGGAGGTTTCGATTTGATTTTGATTCACGGCTGATCGTGACCTCCAACTTCATGTCCCTGAGATTTTTCACTTCAGGTTCTAGTTCTTTATGGAGAAATGATATCACAATCTTCACTTCATTAAATAAGCCCCTCCTCCCTCTCAAAGGTTCTTGAAATGAATAAAGTCAAGGGAGGCTTAATAGAGGATTTACCATATCTGGAGACTTTCCTAAGCGACCACCTTCCGTAAAATAAGCGACCGGAAATTGATCTTTGCATTTTAGGTCGTCGCTTACGTCAGGTTCGACTGTAAGTTACAGTGGAACGAACTCAAACGGAGCCACCGACACTTTCAAATGTGAAAACATCATGAGACTTGAAATCAACTTTCTACTGTTTAACTGCCAAAAGAACTACCAAAGTCAGACTCCTATGTTGTTGTGAACTTGACCTGTGATTGGTAGATTGACGCTACGTGGAACCGGTTGAGTTCGTTGCTCAATAAAATGGCAAAAAATAATTCCTTGTAAAAATTACGTTTCCTAAAGCACGTAATATGAACCAAGGTTTAAATATATCGCAAAATACCTTGCTATTTATTGGATGCCCTCAAACTCGAGCGTTACGTCGTCACCAATGAGAACAAACGGCGCCCAGTACTTCACTGCGTTAAAGCGGTCAGATTCTCTCATGGACTTCATGCCTTTATTCAGAGCCTCACTGGCACTTCGTCCATAAACTAGTTGTTGGTAGAAAACTTTCATGAACTCCATAGTAGCTTCGTCGTCGATCGCCCACAGGGACACTAGAACAGAGCGAGCACCAGCTCCCAGAAATGCCCGTGCAATACCGACCACACCCTCAGCTTTAACTTCTCCCCTGGCGCTATGACAACAACTAAGTACAACAAGTCTTGCCCGTATCTGCGTCTTTAAAACATCTTTCATAGTTAAGAGATAGTCCACCCCGGCAGGATTCACGGATAAACGCGTTGTGTTTGGGGCCAAGGCAATTTCTCCTGTTTCCATTTTACCGTGAGCAGCAATGTGCACCAAAGCAACCGAGGAGATACGTGTTAAGATTTCATCTTTTGTTGCCTGCTTTCCAACGAGAGGTTCAGTTTGAAGTATTTTCCCAATCATCTGCACTTCCTTTTCGGCCCACTTTAACTGCTCTAGAGTCATTCCTTCATAAACTACCTCCTGTACCCACGGATCGCCGACGAGAAGAGCACCAGTCTTGCTGTGCCAATCTGCCTGACAATTTTGGATTAATCGCAGACTAGAAAGTGAGGGAAGTAGGCGAATTTTCAAAGTTTCGCAGAGGTACTTTGATTTCAAGTCCATGAAAGCAGCATAAGGGGCCAAACACAAAGGTCCTTGTGGAACAATCACAACCTCATCGCTATCGAGTAAGTCTCTTATAGGGTCCATAACAACTTTGTAAAATGTTTGTAATGACTTTGTCTTTAAAGATGAGGAATGACACCTTGGCTTACTGGATCTTTCTTCTGCAAACTTTTCATCGATTGGGTTCCTTAATGAGCGATCTTCACAGTTAACATCAGCTCGCACACCTATTTCTTCATGTGTAGTCTCTAATAGAGACTGAAAATAAGTTACGACGGAGACATCGATCTGAGCTCTTCTGGTTTTGATTTCTTTTCCTTTCTCGTTTACCCAGAGAACTATTCCATCTTCTTTGATACCTATAAAAGCTGTATTTGATGGTAGGTAATTAAGAATGTCAGGTGTTGTTGCAGAGGATGTTCCTATTTCTCGAGACAACCCTTTAAACCCATACTTGAACTCCAGAAGATCATTTAAAGCTTGGGCACGTCCATGATCAGCAGTTAAAAGTGCCTCGACGACTTTACCTTGCTTAAATTGTAGCCCCCAGAGCCTCAAATTAATATCATCATACGTACTCACAAGACTAATCTTCCATTCGTCATTAGATAAAAGATTTCCCCTGATATAGTCAAAGGCAATGACACTGTTTTTATAACAGTAAATGGCTGTCTGGAAATCTCGAAGACTGTGATAGGCGTTGCCAAGATTACAGTACGCCTTTCCTTCCCCTGCCCTGTTTCCGACGTCTTTGGAAATTTTGAGGTGTCGTTCATAGTACTCTATGGCTTTCTGAAAATCTCCAAGATTTTTAAAAGCAATGCCAAGATTACAGTACGCTTTTCCTTCTCCTGCCCTGTCTCCCACTTCTTTGGAAATTTTGAGGTCCCGTTCATGGTACTCTATGGCTTTCTGGAAATCTCCAAGACTGTCATAGGCGTTGCCAAGATTACAGTACGCTTTTTCTTCTCCTGCCCTGTCTCCCAGTTCTTTGGAAATTTTGAGGTCTCGTTCATGGTACTCTATGGCTTTCTGAAAATCTCCAAGACTGTCATAGGCGTTGCCAAGATTACAGTACGCTTTTCCTTCTCCTGCCCTGTTTCCCACATCTTTGGAAATTTTGAGGTGTCGTTCATAGTACTCTATGGCTTTCTGAAAATCTCCAAGATTTTTAAAAGCAATGCCAAGATTACAGTACGCTTTTCCTTCTCCTGCCCTGTCTCCCACTTCTTTGGAAATTTTGAGGTCCCGTTCATGGTACTCTATGGCTTTCTGGAAATCTCCAAGACTGTCATAGGCGTTGCCAAGATTACAGTACGCTTTTCCTTCTCCTGCCCTGTCTCCCACTTCTTTGGAAATTTTGAGGTCTCGTTCATGGTACTCTATGGCTTTCTGAAAATCTCCAAGACTGTCATAGGCGTTGCCAAGATTACAGTACGCCTTTCCTTCTCCTGCCCTGTTTCCCACGTCTTTGGAAATTTTGAGGTGTCGTTCATAGTACTCTATGGCTTTCTGAAAATCTCCAAGATTTTTAAAAGCAATGCCAAGATTACAGTACGCTTTTCCTTCTCCTGCCCTGTCTCCCACTTCTTTGGAAATTTTGAGGTCCCGTTCATGGTACTCTATGGCTTTCTGGAAATCTCCAAGACTGTCATAGGCGTTGCCAAGATTACAGTACGCTTTTCCTTCTCCTGCCCTGTCTCCCACTTCTTTGGAAATTTTGAGGTCTCGTTCATGGTACTCTATGGCTTTCTGAAAATCTCCAAGACTGTCATAAGCGTTGCCAAGATTACAGTACGCCTTTCCTTTTCCTGCCCTGTTTCCGACTTCTTTGGAAATTTTGAGGTGTCGTTCATAGTACTTTATGGCTTTCTGAAAATCTCCAAGATTTTTAAAAGCAATGCCAAGATTACAGTACGCTTTTCCTTCTCCTACCCTGTCTCCCACTTCTTTGGAAATTTTGAGGTCTCGTTCATGGTACTCTATGGCTTTCTGGAAATCTCCAAGACTGTCATAGGCGTTGCCAAGATTACAGTACGCTTTTCCTTCTCCTGCCCTGTCTCCCAGTTCTTTGGAAATTTTGAGGTCTCGTTCATGGTACTCTATGGCTTTCTGAAAATCTCCAAGACTGTCATAGGCGTTGCCAAGATTACAGTACGCCTTTCCTTCTCCTGCCCTGTTTCCCACGTCTTTGGAAATTTTGAGGTGTCGTTCATAGTACTCTATGGCTTTCTGAAAATCTCCAAGATTTTTAAAAGCAATGCCAAGATTACAGTACGCTTTTCCTTCTCCTGCCCTGTCTCCCAGTTCTTTGGAAATTTTGAGGTCTCGTTCATGGTACTCTATGGCTTTCTGGAAATCTCCAAGACTATCATAGGCGTTGCCAAGATTACAGTACGCTTTTCCTTCTCCTGCCCTGTCTCCCACTTCTTTGGAAATTTTGAGGTCCCGTTCATGGTACTCTATGGCTTTCTGGAAATCTCCAAGACTGTCATAGGCGTTGCCAAGATTACAGTACGCTTTTCCTTCTCCTGCCCTGTCTCCCAGTTCTTTGGAAATTTTGAGGTCTCGTTCATGGTACTCTATGGCTTTCTGGAAATCTCCAAGACTATCATAGGCGTTGCCAAGATTACAGTACGCTTTTCCTTCTCCTACCCTGTCTCCCACTTCTTCGGAAATTTTGAGGTCCCGTTCATGGTACTCTATGGCTTTCTGGAAATCTTTAAAGTTAACATATGCGTCGCCAATAGTACTATTCCCTTTTTCTTCCTCTGTCCTCTCCCCAACTTCATCGGCAAGATTACAGGTGGCCTCTGTTTTTCCTTTCGCAGCCATTCCACTAACAAATTACAGATAAAATCTTCGAACTGCTTTTCCCGAAGATAGTTTTAATTGTCACTTTTTGCTTGCTTTGGTATTTCAGCTCTTCTGAAAAAAAAGTGTAGATATGTTGCGGTTCTTTTTCCGTTGATACCGTTTCTCTATACGGAAGATAACGTACGATAATGAAAATGAAAAGTAAAATTAAAACATGGAGTAAAAGCTTATTTATTAGCTCTTTTATTATTCGTTTTTGTCTATCACAGTCGCATTTGGTTTGCCACAAATAGTGATCATTCTACTTGTTTTTTATCGTTGTGTAATGTGACTTGATAAGCTGGGGTCTTCTCCTTAAAAAGGAAAAAGACATTCTTTTTGGTGATCAGTGATCGAAATGAAAAAGAAACCAGATTTACCATTGTTTAAACATGGTGTATATTATCTTTCTAGTCGTTGTACATTGATCTACCCTCCGTGGAAAATACTAACGCTTTTGGCAACAAACTACAAATCGGGCCAGTGTAAATATTCAGAAAAGTCAAATTTCGGAAAGTGAACTTATTTCTAAGGTTTTAAGTCTCTTGCTAGCGGAATACAAATGTACAGCAAAAGAAAAGAATACATATTTCTATACCACCAGTTATTTTAAGCCTGTAGAATTTCAGAAAGTTATAATTATGGTTCATATAAAATAGGAAAGGCCTCCCTGACTCCTTGCACTGCTCAGTTTCACCTTAAGAGCGATGGTCAGGAAAAATCGAGAACAATAGTAATCTCGTGGCAGGAGTTAAAAAATGAATTTGTCCATAGATAGCTTTTAGGTAGATAAGAAACCTAATGTACATTGTTCCCGCCAGAAGCGTTTTATTTGTTGTTTTCGATGTCGGAGTCTCAGACTGCACTAATGTTTTACTTGAAATTCGCTAACATCAACTTTCCTCGTGTGTGCAAAGGAACTCGCATGGAGAACAGCTCGGTACGTGTAAAAACCTGGGGAGTTTTGCTTTTTTTACTTCCTATTTTCCTTAGCTAGTATAGCTCTGTTACGTTGACGTCTTTGAATTTCTTTGTGTCATGTCACTTAGGAAGATTGCAAGTTCTTTTCAAATACACCCGTCCGAGGATGAGCCGGTTTAGAAAGATTTCTGTATACAGCTTGCCCTTATAATTTAACACAAATGATAAATATGACTCTTCTGCACAGCCTTTTTTTATGTCGTCACGCAACGCAGACACTAAAAATGGCTGTGTAGCAGACTACTATGAGTACGGACATGTATGCATGATAATGTATCGGTCAAATCGAAGCTTCAACATCCCCCCTCCCTCGGGCATACCCCGGGTATTTGACACTTTTGCCGTCCCGGGGAGGAGGCAATTTGATTATCAGAGTCTTCCAGGGCTTGGGGAATTTGATCTCCATGCGTTAGAGGTAGGGAATTTGAACTGCACCCTCAATTTTATAAAGATTTTGTTCCACAACCGAAGACCACTGAAAGACGTTTCTGCCGTCCTTCTGTCATTTATGTGCCTGTGAAATGTCCCCGGGGTGGGGGCATTTGATCACCTGAATGGACCCTAGTGTGGGGCATTTAAACGGCATTTTGGCCCGGGTAGCGGGGAATTTGAACAATAATTTTCAAAAAGTCAAATGCCCGGGGGGATGTTGAAGCTTCGATTTGACCGATACATAAATAAGTGAAAGTGCTGAGATGAAATCCTATATGATGGGTACTATCGCTGAAAAAGTCCCCTGCGAACTGAAAGATCATAGACAACCCGGCTTATCAAAAAGAGACATACTTTGACAAAAGTTTCCGCGAGATAAATGACCAAAAGTGACGTAAGTACTTCCAGAAATAGCTCTCGAAATGCAGCCATCTAATGAAAATTTGAAAACAATAAAGCATATGAGGGATTAGCCTGAGGGAGTAAAAACGGCTCGAAGCAATCGTCTGTAATTTCGGATAATGAGGGGTCAAATTAGATCTAATTAATATACAGTTATGTCTTTTGATGATAAGCTTTCCTTGTCAGCCAGATGTTTCTCTCACTGTTTCGGATCCCACGACAGAACTCTCGCCTGCTACTATTTTTGCAACCTTTTACGTGCAGCGAAGCCATACGTCACGTGATTAGTGTCGAATCTCATGACCGTCAATCCGGGTAGCAATGAAATCAGCATAAATAAAGGTAGCAGCTCAACAGAGGTTTAATTTCCCATTCTTTTCTACAAGTATTTCGGAACTTTGATTACTGGCCGCTTAATGGAGGATGGCCACTTAATAGGTGGCCTCTTAATGGAGGCTCAACTGTATACAGAGTGGGATGATAACCATGCGGTCAGTATAAACACGGACTGCGGACTGCGGACCACGGACTGCGGACTGGGTATAAAATACGGACTAGGTATAAAACGCGGACTGGAAAATATGGACTGGGTATAAAACACGGACTAGGTATAAAACGCGGACTGCAGACTGCGGACTGAGTATAAAATAGAAATTCTTGGTGGAGGTTCTCTGAATCAAGAGCCTGACAAAAATGCTGTTTTCTACACCCATTTTAGACATGGTCTCGGTCTCTAACAATCATGAAAGGGGTCAGGACCCGGGGTTACTCTCTTATGTAAGCCATATAGGTATTTGCCGCCCTAAAGGGTAGGCCGGTTTATGGGCCGTTTTGGTGGTCTGAAAACACTTTGAGTATTTTGGTATGAAATATTGTATGGTTTTCGAGGAAACTACGGGAGCGTACATGTACGAATGTATTTATCGTTTTCAATTTCTAAATGAATAAGAACGAAATAGAAATATGCGAATTTGAAATGCATTTGAAGAATTTGTTGTTTGCGCTCAAGAGAGGATGATCTACTGTTGCGCTTTAATCTATAATATATAATGATGACATAATTTCTGCCTCATCAGGCCTAGCCTGTTCCAGGCTTCGAGATAGTTGGGTCCGCTGAATTGAGAAAGCGCGAAAATAAAACGGGAGCAAACTGGGTAGTCTCCTCTTTATCTGAGAGCCTGGAACAGGCTAAATTAGGCCGGGTCTGGAAATGGGTATGCATTTTAGAGATCAGGTCTGAAAACGGTTGTGGAAAAATGACATTTTTTATTCTGAAACAGGGTAAGGATTTAGAGAACCAGGGGGCATAACCCCACCAAAAAATTCCTAGGAGTACTCCCTTCCGGGTTTCAGGAGCAGGGTGTAAATCATGTCATCATAGTCATCGCGTAGAATATAACGTTGGGTTGGATGATTCATTTCGCTTATTATTCACGTATAGGTGAGTAATCCCTCCCCCCTAAATACTGCTTTTTTACCTCGCGGAATGCCCCTATATTGACCTTCTCGTCTGAGTTCTTCATTTCCTCATCTTCCCAAGGCTTTATTTGAAACGGAATAGAGGCATTGACTCGGCTAACACCAATACTATTCTTTTTATTCGGTGCTTCTCCGATTGGTTCTCTTCTAACTTCTTCATTTAATAAAATTCAGAGTTTAATTTCAGTTGTCTTGAATAGCGACATAACCGTCCTTGTCCGTGCAGTATGCTTTCCTTCTCCACATGAAGAGAATATAGACTGCGTGACCGGCTTACGGAATGTTTTTGAGTGAGGCAAGGAGCTGGAACTACTGTTTTATGCAAGCCCGCTTTCCGTTTCCCTCAGTTTTACCTTTCTAAAGCTGTTTTATATACACAGTCCGTAGTCCGCGTTTTTTATACCTAGCCCGTGTTTTATACTCAGTCCGTAGTCCTCATTTTATACCTAGTCCGTGTTTTATACCCAGTCCGCAGTCCGTGGTCCGCAGTCCGCAGCCATATTTTATACTGACCGGATAACCATGTATGCATAATATATCAGTGAAAGGGCTAAGATGAAATCCTACATGATGGTTTCTATCGATGAAAAAGTCCCCTGCGAACTGAAAGATCATAGACAACACGGCCTTATTAAACAGAGACATACTTTGACAAACGTTTCCGCGAGATAAATGACCAAATGCCGTTCTAAGGTAACTAGGAACCGTGCAGTTCTAGTAATGCCTACCTCAGTTATAAATTCCCAATTAGTCTTGATAGTTCGCTTGATTTGTCACGACGAAAAAGTCTGCGAGAAAATTGTATTTTGCAAAACAAGTTTAAGTTCAGGTTCAACTGTATACAGAGTGGAATGATAACCATGTATGCATCATAAATCAGATTAAATCAGTGAAAGGGGCTGAGAGGAATTCGAAATCCTACATGATGGGATGGGAAAAAGTCCCCTGCGAACTGAAAGATCATATACAACACGGCCTTATTAAACAGAGACATGTTTTGACAAAAGTTTCCGCGAGGTAAATAACGAAATGCGCGCCGTTCTAAGGTAAAGGAACCGAGGAGTTCTAGTATATTAAACTTTAGCTAATGCAATGCCTACCTCAGTCATAAATTCCCGAGGAGTCTTGTTAGTTCGCTTGATTTGTCACGGCCAAAAAGTCTACGAGGAAATCATATTTTGCAAATCAAGTCAGTATAAAAGTCAATTACATTTTCCTTCACAATATAAC